TTCTCGACCTCGCCACGTTTGAGGTCGCGGAGGAAGCTCCAGGAGAGGCCTGGGAGACGCGTAATTGAAGAGGCTTCGCACGGTGGGTTAGCGACTTCGAGTGTCGATGAGGGGCACCATCTACGTATTCCACCACGGATAATGACTCCGTGGTGAATGGTGCGTCTAGAATCGGGCGTCGTGCTTTTAGACGACGGCGATATTTAGACTTCTTCGTCTTGCGCTCACCGCGCGTGGGCGCGGAGGGTATGGAGCTATCGCTGGACGATGCTTCAGACGATGAATCACCCACCTCCAGGTGTAAGAGGCCATGCCCATCAGCACTGACAGCGCGCGGGCGAACCGCGCGAACGTGTACGACATCTGGAAGCGGGAGCGACGCATGCTCGACCGCAGACACTTACTGTGGTGGGATCCCCATGATCGACCACCATTTCCTTGCGCGGTGGGAACCGATGCTCGATAGTCGTCGTGCGGGCATATGACGACGTCACCACGGAGTCCACGCAAAATGCGAGGGCGAATGCCTTCTTCAGGGTATCGGGATCCGCACGAGTGAGGCTATAGCGCGTCATACATTCTCGCATCCCGAACACAAAGACATGAATCTGTGAAGCCATGTCGATGGGGCTTGTGGTGATGCACGAAGCGAGGTGTTGAGTCTTCTGAGCATAGTCCCGCATCGACAACTTACCCTGATTGAGGGAGAAGAATTGGGCTGGGCACGGGATTCATCTTGCGGGGGTTCGAAGGCCAGACGTAGGTCACTATGGAGAGCTTCCAGAGTGGGGAGCGCTTGCGCATCTACGACAAATTTGCCGAGGGCCCATTCCTTGGCTTTCTCGGATAACCGGGAGAGGAGAAACTTCACCTTTGCCGACGGCGCCTCGATCAATCTCGAGGCGATGGCGATGTCTCTTTCCCAAAACCACCGATTCAGCGGCAGCCGGTCTGGACCGGTGCCTGAGAACGTTGACGTTTCCATCTTAATGGCGTCATTCCTGGAGCGTGAGGAAGTCTGTCCTCGCTGTTTGGCTTCAGCAAGCTCTCGTTCCATGAATTCTTGAGAGTCTTGACGTTGCTGTTCGGGGGACGCCGCGCTGAGCTGCGATACCACCACCACTTGTCCAGACACCGCCGCAAGGCGGTGTAGAGCCTCCCATTCAGCGCGGGTGAGGTGGGGGAAGTTGGCGTGCTCCATAGTTGTTCCGGTGGAACCGGATGTCAAGCCGTGCTGCATCTAGGTCTTGATCGTTGGAAGGACTTCGAGGTACTACCAGGTGTAACAGGTTATGTTTTTACCGTCACTAGCTACGCGTAGCGATGAGGAAGATCACAAGTAAGATAGGCTTACCTCTTAGTAAAATAGACTCTGATTTAATTTAAGTACAGGGCGGGAGCCCTAGACCTCTGAGAACCACTCAAATGCAGGTCGACTCCTAAACTGGCTATAGCGTTTTCCTTATTAGCCAATCAGAGAGCGACAATGCAGCACACGCTAACCGCGTGCTTCTTCTATCTACTTTTGTAAAAGAACATACCTACTTATGTAATTGGGGAGAACCCATTACACAAGCCTCCATCCGACTCTGAAGAAAGATCGGACACCAGCTCTGACTCCTCAGTCAAACGTAAGGACCTATTGTGCCTTCCAAAGTTTTGGCCAATCTGATCTTTAAAGGCTGGTCCTAAGCAAGGGTGGGTAGGGCTAAAGGTGGGATTTGAGGACGAACTGGAGTTAAATTGCTAAGCCAGGCCACTAAATAAAATGATATATGACCAATAACACTGTTTGATTTTGCTGACTATGATCGAATAATACTTAATTGTGGGGGTCCTACGTAAGGGCTCCGATTTGGTCTAAAGGGTACCTTTGAACAAATTAAGGGCTGAATGGCCAGTATTTGCCGGCCATTTACCGTAACGTAAGGTACCCACAACAGATTGATTTTAAATCAAATATGGGCAACTCATCAGACATTCGCTGGCGAGGCATTGTCTTGCAGTATGTCTACAATATTGAGGTCAGCGTGGCTGCCGGTGTACTGGGCGTCTCGGCCAAAAGCCTTCGGAGATGGTACCATCTCTTCAAGAGAGCAGGAAATGTCGACGACACCCCAAAGAATGAGCGGTCATCTAAATGGCCGATTGAAGTGCAGCAATTTGCTCGCTGATAGTGGCAGCGACATTGTAAACTAAAAGTGAACCTTTAAGCCAAAGGATATCAGGGTGTGGGAGAATACGCACGGTAGAGATCGACAAAATTTAGGAGATCATGTCGAAACGGGATGGAATTTTGCCAAATGTCATAAGATAAGGATACAATCTGTTTCGGTTTTGTTAATCAATCTTTAAATTTGTATTAAAACCATGATCTGTATATTTGCAATAAAGTAGAGTCTTTAGCCAATCGAAAACGTTTGTGCCCAGGGAATTATCCCATCTGCCGTCCGCTGAGCGCCGATTGGACAGAATCTCCACGTGGTGCAATTATTCTCGGAAATTCTATCCCGACTGATCCATATGAGACTCATACCCGAAGCAGACACTTGGTTATGTCTCCGATCCGAAGAAGGACTTGCACACGACACTTAGCTCAAGCAATTCCCTACAGACATGAGAATTTAACCCATGTCACCTGCTAGCTGACGGGCTAATCAGGCGCATACACACCAGTTGCCCGGAATGCATACTAATAGTTTAATGAAATTGTGTCAAAACTGGTGAAATATGTCTTTGATTGGCATAGTCTTTTTTTCGTCAAAAGGATAGGGTAAATTTTAGTCGGAAGCACCCGATCAGATAGGAGGTCTTTCGTAAGGGCCATCCTCCTACGTAGGACCATAAAACTGAGGGCTTTTGGCAGAAAGGCACAATACCTACTAATCGTCGACAAGAAGTGAAGACGAAGGCGTTTCTTATGAAGATTATGGAAAACACCTCGGACTCGTCAAGAGCCTCACAACTTCGTACGAGATCTTCAAGCACATCTTCGAGAAGTACGAAGGGGCATCGTTCCACGGCGACCACTTCATCCAGCCACTTTTCCACAAAATCAGCTTACTTCAAATTTGTTTCGTCCAGCCTTTCTGCCAGCATAAAAGATACCTGCATCGAAAAACTAAAATACATGCTCAAAATGATACAGTATTGGTCGCCAAGCACATAAAGCGCGACGACACGAAATTTAAATCAATTTGATTGGCTGCTGGATTTGTCGCTGATGACCGAGCGTCGCCAATCACATAAGGAATACAGTAAGTCGAAGAGACGACCTAGTTTAATGTGTCAAAATTCACACATCACGCATTGTTTGCGATGCTCGTTGTGGCGAACACCGGGTGACCTACACTAAGCTGTTTCTCGACGCCACATCTCACAACTGATGCATCACTGTCACCCTGACAGCATAGCAATTAACATAAGCAATTGTTTTTTTCAGCATCAGTGATATCAATAACGGACAGTGAATTAAGATTGCTAGAAAAAATGTTATATATGGGTAAAAATACATACTTTTCAACTTCAAAATGGCAAATGGGTAGTTCAATGTGTCTAAACGTAAATTCAAAGTGTCACTGGGCAATAAAATGACGACAGTTGTGGTGGTGATGGAGGGCGGTAAAAGGCCGAAGCGATTGCGCTATGAACTACAATCGAACTCCAGATGCCAAACCGTCCAACAGCTAAGAAATACACCGTAAAAACCTCGCCACAAGTATCATCCTCTTACGACTTTAATAGTTTATGTTCAATAACAGCGGTAATTATCGAAACAGTAACACATAGTCGAGTCTGAGAAATAAATTGCGAAAGACTCCTGTCGGTGTTGAGGAGAACTATCTATAGTCGTTTCCTCTTCCTCTTCAGCGTGCTCTGACCGATGCAACGTAAAACAAGCATCATAATGGACTCGTGTCCAGCGGTACATGCAGCTTTTTACAGAATGCTCACCACCAGGGGTTCCGTAAATGCAATATAATCGCACTTATCTTCCTTACATCAAATAAGTAATGGATTGGTAACGGTAAGATAAATAACTGAGAATGAAAGTATACAGTATTGAAGAGCCTGAGATATACCTAGCTAAAGAGCGGTACAGTACTACAATATAAGTAGTAACTACGTGTACAAACAATCCTCTTTGTAGTGATACGATCGGGTAGCCACTTTGTGTCACTATCACTATCCAGAGCTTTACTTATACAAGGGTACATGGCATGCACGTACAGCTCTGTATAGTGATTCCGAGTAAAAGTACATAACATTGTAATGCACAAATCTGTTATACTTGGGTTGAATAGTTGCTTACCTGTACGTACGGTTCAAAATAACAAAAAAATTGAAAGCGACTGATTCATTTTACAGGACCAAAACGGCAAATTTGGTCGGAATTCTCAATACCATCGCTTTGCGAAGAGTATAGAATATAAAAACCGACCGTCAATGGCAAACTGCATTACTGCCTGTATTTGAGCTAAAATTTTAAGTTTTATAAAACAAGACGTCATCGACGGACAATAATAATCATTGCAAATTGCAATAATTAGTTATTTTAAAGAACCAATACTGTAATAATTGGTTTCAAAAATTTTCCTGATCCCGGCTTGGCTTCGAGACCATTGCTGCTAATCGGCTTTAATAAAAACTATACTAGATATACTGTTTAAGGAGTCAAACTACATGTATATTCTTTAAAAGTTTTGAAAATATTGAAAGAAATTGAAGATCATGTCTTTTTAGTAGTACTGCTACTCGTTAGAAAACTACACATACTAATACCATAGTAGAAAGGTAACAAAGTGAATTTAGGTCTGCTTCCACACAAGTCTATATTGAAACGCAACATGAATTATGGTTTGCCGGTATTATTCTACTCAGCCACCTTTCTATCAACAACTTGCACGCAATACAAGCTAACACCGCACTGTGTTCGCTTTGTAAGGACATTTTCTCTACCTTCTCGTCAGTAGCTCGAAAAATTGTCGTCCTCTATCAATTTAGATCGGGCCCACACCAAAGTTCTGGCTAGTCGAGGAGAATCGCTTCGCAGCGATCGGCTGGTAATAGGGAGCCACCTTCTTCGAGTTGGTCAGGACAGCTGACTCACGGCTGCCCGACAGCGAGCCGCACTTCACCACTGTGTTCTCAACGCAGTTGCGACCCAGGGTAGACTTGCACTTCGTCTGGGTTGAGCTGGACGGTACAATGATAGCACCGACAGTCTCAGTGTCATTCTTGCTGGGAACGGCAGTGGATTCGAAGTAGTTGCCTTCCAGTAGCACGTTGCCGTTCTCGACGACGTCGTATGAGAAGCCAGAGTTACTATACCAGTAGTTGTTGGCGGCGTGGATAACGGAGCTGCCACCGACCTTGGGGGAGCGGCCCGAAGTGTTGTGTACGTAATTGTTAACGAGAGTAACTTGCGTCTGCGTGCCAAGGAAAAGGAAGGTCCAGTAGTGGTTGCCATCGCACGTAGCCGAGTATTGAGCGCGGCCGTCGAACTCACAGTTGCTGATTTGACACTGGCCGAACCGGTAGCAATCATCGGGCGGCCAAGGTTAGAGATCTTGACGTGATCAAGCCAAACGCGCTCCATTGGGGTCTTGCCACCGTTGAGACCTTGAATGTAGATGACATCACCACCCCAGATGAGGTGCGGGTTCAGCTCCGTGATGTGAATATTTTGGATAATAACATTGTTGCCACGGATCCAGAGACCTTTGCCCTTGATGACCCCGCTGGCGCCCACTCCACGGAGAGTCTTGTTGTCCGTCACCAAAAGAGGGTTCTTGGTACCGGCAAGGTCGTACGTAACCTTGATGGCGGTGCCCTGCACACAGCCGCCGGTATTTTGCATGCCACCACTCTGTAGGATGACATCTTGACCCTTGTAGCCGTTGTTCTTAGCAAGGCAGTCACGGTTGCTCTTCGGGCGACAACCAGTCTCAGTTCTCGTGCCTTCCGTGCCGCGGAAATCGAACGTCTTAGTGAGTACGATGACGCGCGGCTGCGAGTCCTGCAGGTAGTTTTTGAGATCGGCAAGCGAGTTGGGATACACGGGGGTAGCGTTGCCACCACCTGTGGTGCCCGCTGCGAGACCCGGTGCTTTGCCTGTGGAGATCTTGGAGGACGACGATGTCTTGCCTTGCTTTGTAGACGATTGTTGCTGAGTCTGATCGACTTGAGATTGCTGCACGGTGTTGCCTGAGCCCATGGGAAGCGCCTGTGTGCCCTGCATGGCGAGTGCAGCGATGGCAACGACGACAAAACGGAGAATCTGCATGGCTGAGCTGGGGACTTGTGCAGGGAGAAGAAAAATCGACAATGAACAATGAGCAGGGGCACTGCCAGTGCCCCGACTCATTTCATCAAGGTCATTGACAGCGGTGAGCCAGCCAAGGGACGAATACGTTGACGTTATGCGACGGGATAGCTGCTAGAGAGAGCTGCTGGTAACCCTGTTGACCAAAAACGATCAGCGAAGCCAACCAAATGGTCGCTAGGAACCATTACGCTACTTCAATTTTATCACGCCAGTAGGGGTAGCAGCGTGGTAAATTTGAAAATAGGTCACTGACTCAATTGGGGGATACTAGAACACCAGACTTCGAAGTTGCAACGTTGCTATTACAGAACAAAGATATTAATATTAAATAGCTAGCCGCTATTTAATGATGTAACACATGCACTACGCCCCTTTAAAACTTGAACGCTCGTGGTTTGGACTCGAGTGTTAACTTCTGTGGGGACGAACTCGCTACATCAACGTGTCGGTATCTGGTATTTTGTATTTGATGCTTTCTGAAGGGCAACAATAAAAGCAACTCAGTGTAAACTGCATGGATGTTCAAGATTTTTCTAGTCGGAGTACGTAATTACATGTACGTCAGTGATTTGCAAGCTACCCCAACGCAAAATGCGGTAGTCGACATATTTCATCAGATTTGAAGCTAAAATATATGTGTGCGAAGTTATAGCTCTTTACAGAAACTCACAGTCCAGCTCACTTTCAAGCAGGATGAAATCAGCTTCGTTTGTTTCGCTTTAGCAAATGCCTTTCCTTCGCGTGCCCCACGCAATAGCCTGCAGCTGTATCCAGATCATTACATGCTCGTGTGGTACTTCAAAGGTAACTGTACTTCGAAGGACTTGTTATGTAATGACTTTTTTTTGCTTGGTTGCACAAGCTCACGTTATGAAGCCCAGCTGTGAATTCTTGCACTGGCATTAGCGAATTTGCATGTTCGTTGTTCGTTGCTACAATTCGTAGTACGAATTTCGTACTACGAAAGCGTCGATGAAGATGTGTCCCATTTAGCACTTTCTTGACCGATGATAAAGTTATTACAAAGAGCCACGGAGCCTTGTTACAAAGCGACACAGGGGTGGAATCACTGGCGAATTTTTGTTTTTGGCAACTCATGAGGCAATCGAGAAAGCTTCGCGATACTACAAAAGTGTAGATATACAGTTTAATTCAACCGTTATTCCTGCTGGCGCAAAACGACTTCATACCTGCTACAGTGTAAGCATGCACTAGACCTCTGACAGCACGACACAAAACAGAATCTATGTTTGACCCCGCAAGCGAGAAGCGGAAGCGCTATTGGGTGCACATTACATGTACAGTGCATTTCGTTCGTTTCCGGAGTCGTTACCGCAACCATAATATGCGACATTTATGGTTGCTATAACTCAGTTATGGTTGCTATACCAGAATTTCAAAAAACTCTTAGCGAAAGATAAATTATATTTTAAGAAAGTATTTACACCCACTTTAAAATACCGTATTAGCACCTACATGTAAGTACGAATATACTCGGTTAAGTAAGATCATATTATTAAGTACGATTGCTCTGAGCCGCTCAGCTCATACCGGTATTTGAAACTGGGCAGCTCTGCGACGGCCACGCGGTAAATTCTCGCCGCGCTAGTTGGCGTTGCGAGTACGAGAACAGCGTGCGAAGGATAGGACGATGACTAATAGACTACATGAGTCGGGCTTTAGAGCTGTATTTGTAGTTCTTACCACTTGTATGTGTTTGTGTGCGAACAGAAGCCCGAAGAACGCGAAATGTCAACGGACAACAGAAAATCACGTATAATGCGCTCGGGATCGAGAATGACGACGCCAGCGACGAAGACTACGTGTTGGAGGCCATTTCGGAGGATGAGGAAGAAGATGAGGACCTTTCCTCTGGCAAATTAAACGAGGGAAGCACAACAGCTGCCGGTAAGGCTGTTTGCTGCATTTTACGTTACTACGTGTTTTGCTGAGCTGTTGTGTGGGGTGTACATGCATCTAGGAAAGCCAAGCGCTCAGAGTAACAAGAGCAAAACGATACAGGGCAACGTGAAACCAGGTATGGTTGCTATATGCGTAAGGGTTGCTTTATTTAGCATCTTACAAGCTCACATTTTTGCTTGTTGCTAGATTCGAAGGCTACTAAAACATTGCTGAAGCGCACTTCACCTGATATGCCAATGCAGTCTTCTCGGGCTAAGAAGAAAAGGCAGGAAACATCAGTGCAATCAAGTGGTGAATATTTGTTAAGAAAACGCGTGAGCAAGCACCTCACAGAGCTACAATCAATGAACTCAGGTGAAAATAAGATCGTGAATACAGTTCCAGCGTTTGGGCCGGCCAAGATGATTAATTCTTGGGAGGAATTTGAGAAGATCTTCGATGCATACAAGAAGAAGTACAAGCTCAAGTTTCGGGTGCGGAGCTCAGAAAAGACGGCTCTTTACAACAAGTAAGTTTTGCTGTTAGCTTTGGCTGTATATCCAGACTAAAAGGTGGTTATTGTATCTGTAGCACCCATGAAGATCATATACCTACCGAGTTCGAGTGGTTCCAGAGGATTTACCGCTGCACGCACGGAGTATCTCAGGCCTCTAGATCTAAAGGCCACCGCAACCGGTCGACACGTTACTGTAGCTGCAAGGCAAGATTAACGGCCGTTGTCTTTCGCTGTGTGGACAATACCTATAAGATTGTTGTTCGGAACGAGGTATGTGACGAAAGCGTGCTCATTATCTGTTTGACTTTCTAACTTTTGTTTGACTTTGTAGAACCACACGCACTCACACCTAACTACAGGCACGGAGGTCTCTTCCTACCTCACGACCAAGACTCTACCGCTCGACGACCGCGATCGCAGGGATGTTCAGACCTTGGCTGACGCCCGTGTGTCGTCCTCCCACATCACCCTCTTTTTAAATGATCGCCTTGGCACGTGATGTAGCTATTTACGTGATGTAACTTCTTTATTTTTTTGCTTACACTATGTCAACTTCTTCTTAGACTGTAAATTGACGCCACAGCAGACGCGTAATCTTATCCGTAGCATCATGGGGAAGGATTCCGGTGAAGACCGTCTTAAGAATATGCTTCACGCTCTTCGGCAGCTTGATGGCAGCGATGTGCTCGTCATTCAAGACCAGTTTGACGTCACGTGCGGAGTTGTTATGCAGACAAAAAATCAAAAGATGATGTTTGAGCGGTGGAGGGAAACGCTGGCAATGGACTTTACGCATGAAACGAATAACCTGGGCTATCATCTGGGTACATTTGACACAGCAACCTTACTTGATGTAGCAATCCCCTGTAGCAACCCTAATTGATACAGTAACCGTTGTGGCAACCTTACCCGCTATCGCAACCTTGCTGATCATCATGTATTTCCTTGCTTGTAGGGAGTTTGGTTGTCACCACATGCACGGGTCGTGGCTTCCCTGTGGTTGATTTCATTTGCCTCAATGAGCAAGCAAAGACGATCTCCACAATTTTGGAGTATTCGCGTTGGGATTAAAGTCGTGAGCGTGGTCATTGATAAAGACTTCACTGAATGAAAGGTACTTGAAGAGTCCTTCTCCAACGCGAAAATTCTCCTTTGCCAGTTCCACGCAATCTCTTACTGGAAGAAGATGATGAAGAGGTCTGTCTACGGAATTAAGATTGCGCAGAGTGAAGAGCTACTTGCCTTGATGGTGAAACTGCTTTTCAGATATGTCGCCACGGTTCTTTCGAAGCACATATCTTGTCTTACTTTCTTAACTAATTGTTATCTTAGCTCAACGCAGGATGCATACGACACTTACTACAAGAACCTTCAATCGTACTGCCAAAGCAACAAGAAACTCGCTTTCTTTGCGTATTTTGACAAGAACTGGAGCACATGCAATGGCATGTGGTCCAGCTTTGCACGTGGTAAACATTTTACTGCTGGCAATACAACTACCAACAGGATCGAATCTAATTGGATCCAGCTCAAGATGCTGCTCGGGCGTAAAACAAGAATTGACCAGACCATCGCTGGATTGCTGCAGCACCAGATGACTATCACGCAGCAGATTGTCTCGGAGATCGGGCAGCTGCACTCGAGTACACGGAGGCCTAAGTCGGTGCCGACGTTTTTGAGAGCAGTTGGGAGCAGAATATCAGCGTATGTTTTGGAGACAATTAGGCGGGAATGGGAGCAATTTGTGAATCTGATGGAGGAAATAACATGTGTACAGACATTATCGGTTTCAAAATGGAACGTATACTGTCACAACCAAGGATTTGAGTGCGATGACGTGGACTGGAAGTGCACCTGTCTGTTTTCAACTACCCACCACTTGCCGTGTCGGCATCTCATGCACGTAGCGCACAAAGGACATGGATTCGAGATGCTTCCTGTTATGACAATTTGCGAACGGTGGAGTACAATGACAGCGTTGAAATCTACAGAAGCATTTACGGCTGCTGCTGATACTCTCTGTTCAATCGTGCGGATGTCGAAGTTAAGGTTGCCAAAGTTAAGATTGCCGGATGAACCTTGTGTTGAGCTTCCTACCTCGTCAGCGCCGAACACGTCACCGAAACAAGTTGTGTATGTTCGCCTGCGACGACGGGAGCGTGCCAACAAGGTTGTTCTTTCTTCAGGCGAGAAGTATTCGCTTGCTAAGGCAATGGCTGAGCGTCTGCTGGAACATCTAGCCGACTTGAGCAGCGCAAACTTTTATGACGAATTACAGGCGTGAAAAAACACATTAGAAGAAGGACTGCGCCTTGGCAAATCACGTACGAAAAAAAGTGCTGTGTTTGTCGATCACGAAAATTAAGAAGTTTAAGAAGTCGAAGATCTCGATGATGATTTGAGCTCTATTCTAGATCCAGCAGACGCAATGGCAACTGTCAAACTGATGGAAGATCTGCAAATTCGACAACCAGGATGGCGCCATGGATAGTATCAACAGTGGTGATGACGTCCCTCCAACACAACTCGCAAACGATCAAATGGTGAAGTCACCAACTCCACCTCGTGCCACTAGCTTTAGTGAGCCGACTTCTGGCTCCAAAAAGAACGAGACGGGTGATGTTCGAGACGAAGGAGAGATATCTCGTCAAGTAGACGTTATCAATGTTCCAAAACCGATGCGCCGAAATCTGTCGCGTACCACGCCGACACAGCTACGCCAAACAAAGATTTCCCCAGGTGTATCGCGGCTAGCTGTACACAATTATCCCAGCGGGCTAACAGTGAAGCTGCACGAATTTGTGACGTGGTCCCGCTATACACCAAACATGAAGAACATACTGGCTATCATGCAAAAATACCCAGTGCAACTGACGGATGCCTATCTACGATCGCGAGTGATTGAGTGCCATTGAAAAGCTATGAGGTCTGAGGACAACATGCACCCTTTTGTAATTCCCGTGGATCTTACACGGTCAATGGAGGCTGCAATATGTACTGCACGGAAGGAGCAGCGCGAACCCGACAAACTCGACTCAACTGTGTCACAGAAAGGTGTTGTTCTCGATATTGTTGCAACAATCGACCCAAAGCTCTAGAAGTTCTGCAGGTACGGTTGCTTTATCGTTATGGTTGCTATACAGAGTTGCTTTATCTTTATGTCTGCGATACAGAGTTGCTACTTCGATTACAGTCGATATGTAAATGCACAAAGTGTTTTCTACAGAGTGAAGGCCAAGGTCAAGTCTTGGGTCGAAGATCGAAAGTGGCTGGAGAGAAATTGGATTAAGGTGGACTCGGATGTTGACCTTTTCGCAAAGGAAACAAAAACTTGGGGTGTAGCACGAGAGGCCGTTCGAAATCGACGTCAAGTCCTCGCCAACGAAGTAATTTCAAAGTTTTCAGACTGCCGTCTTCGCAGCGAGTATGCCACCAAGTGTGGCAAGGTCACCATTTGCTTCGAAGACGTGGTTGGAACCCGCGACACCGCGGGTTCAGCTTCGCGACATAAAGTTTGTCGTACATCCCGTCAATTTGAGCGCTAGCCATTGGGCATTATAATTGTTAACCTTGGGGTTTCAGACGGCCAGATCCACGCACGACCTCACATATACGAACCTCTCATTAATAATTGCTATCACGGTGAAATGCAGACAGTTTGGGAGAGAAGTAAGAGTAACAACAAGGAAGGGCTGCGAGGATTTATTGAGCGCTGGAACGAGTCCTCCAATCCTGGCTGTGTTATGAAGATCCACCCAGCTTCGTGGGTGGACGCCCCGCAACAGCCTGATAACGCCAGATGTGGTGCCTTGGTAATTGCACATGCACACAGCGTTATTGCAGGGAATGCAGACCTGCATTGCTACAAGATTAGCAAGTCAGATGTCGACGTAATGCGCTTGAGGATGCTGTGGTTACTGCTTGTACAATCCCGCAAGCGACGAATGTCGAAGGCAGATGCGGACACGGCAGCAAAAATTCATCAGAGACTTCAGGATGAGCTAAAATAGCCATGTGAATTTGTATTCACAATTAATACAGCTACATATCGTTGACTAATTTCTTAACCGATTATTTGCCATCTCTAGCAGCACTCCAAAAGACATAACTCCGTCTTGACCGATGCCCACACCGTCCAAATCATAATGCAAAGCGTATAGACCTTCCTCGTTCTCTTCATTTCGAGCCATTAACTCCATCTGTACTCTCAGTATTTGCTCCAGTATCTCCCCGATCTCCTCCAGCTTGCGCTTTGTGTCCGTGAGCTCTTCTCGCCGTGCGCGTATCAGTTCGCTGAAAAGCGATCTTCTATCCATCGTCGTGAAGCCTGCATATCGAAGTGTGAGAAATGAGTGGTGTACTCGCATGTAGTGTTGTGTACATATCTACTTAGAGCATGTTATGCCTCGTAATTTACCGCTGAATTGATGACGATGGCGACGTGGTAGTGCAACAAATAATAAAATACCAGGACAAACATATGTTTTGAGGTTGCTTTAGGAGATATGGTTGCACTATTTCTTGTTGTGTTGTCGTTGGATGGTTGCGGTTACGCCGTTCGTTCGTTTCCCTGGATTGGAAGCATAGACCGTTTTATAATAAAGTATGGATTGTGAAGATACTTCACACAGATGGACGTGTAGCCCTACGTTGACATTTCGAGAGAATCAGCTGCAGTGTCAGCCGCCACGCACGATTCTTAGCGTCTTACAGCCGCTAGTAGATTTGTGCCAGTACACGTCGTGCGAGTGCACTTCTTCTCGTGGTGTGCGGTCAATATACAAGACGCCCTGCACGTCAATTTGACGGGGAAATTTCTCGCAGTACTACCAGTCTATAACTTGTAGCTACTGCGATTCTTGCCCGGTTGCTTCATCCGACACAAACAAGTGGTGCCCTCGCATCCAGATCCCCAAATCAGCAATATACGTTGGTACCTGTCGCCAGGAGATTGATTTTGCTTAAGCGATAACGCTACAAGTTTTCACACGAGGAACGACAAACGGGTTGTCTTCTATAACTTGACTATGAATTTCATAACAATCCTGCCATACTTAGCAATATCATATTGATAAACTTTCGTTTAAGCATATTATCGTTTCGTTTCCAGTTACTGACCATACAGTTTTCTATGACACGTATCGTCAGATCCTTCCCTTCTCTCTGCTCTTTCGCTTTCTTGAACAACGTTCTCAACGGGATGTTGGTCATGCGCGACACAACAGCATATTTCCCCCCCTTTAGTAACTCTTTTGAGAGCTATGAGGAGGTCTTCAAGCGTGTAGGTTCCCCCTCTGCGCAGCGTTGTAGACTCCAAGTCTTCGTCGTCTGCTCCCATGGCTTCGTGGCTTGTGAATGAATGGGCTGCGGTTGGTCAGAATCGAATACCCTTTTAAAAATGATGAGTCGGAATAATGTGGATTATATTCAGTTGGTTGTGGAAAAGCGTGCACTGATGTGACTGAAATGAGATCAACCAATCCAATTGCACATTTTTGATTTTAAGCATAACAACTGGCAGAAATTCTGCATCGTGCACGCAATTGGCATCACGCACTCAACTGGCAAATTACGTTAGGGTCACATATAGCTAATTCGAGCCCTATTACCCTACATTCTGCCCAATTTATTTAAATCGGGCCCCGGGCGGCAAAATTGATGAAAACCACAGTTTGCCTAAAACCGGAAATTTGAAAAGGAGAGTGGTGATTATACTGGTAATTTCTAATAACTTTTCCTGGGCCCCGAAATCTCAGCATCATCTTTGAACTCGGTGTTTTACTATCAACTTTTCTAAAAACAAAGCCAAATATCTGCACATATATCTACACTACTTCACATCAAATATGTTCTATCGGCAGCTATCTACTTGACTGTCCAGCCACGTTTTGATTCAGGTGGATGGACATCTTAGCTGCCATCCCATCGGCAATCAAGAGCGTTAGCCACCATCACGACAATAATCGCATATTGGCGATTTACTTTGAGGACAGAATGCCTACTCCGTAGTTCTGGCTGTTGGTGCTGAGCTTCTGGGGCGACGTCGGGTGGTAGTAGCTGGCTGTCTTCTTCGTGTTGGTCAACGCCGCCGAGTCGCGGCTACCAGACAGCGTGCTGCACTTCACCAACTTGTTCTCAACGCAGTTGCGACCCAGTGTGGACTTGCACGTCGACTGCGTGGACGACGACGGCACGATGATAGCACCGACCGTCTCAGCGTCGTGGTGGACTCGAAGTAGTTACCCTCCAGCAACACATTGCCGTTCTCGACGACGTCGTACGAGAAGCCTGAGTTGCTGTACCAGTAGTTGTTAGCAGCGTGGACGACGGAGCTGCCACCGACCTTGGGCGAGCGGCCCGAGGTGTGGTGCACGAAATTGTTGACAAGACTGGCCTGCGTCTGCGTGCCAAGGAAGAGGAAGGTCCAGTAATGGTTGCCATCGCACGTGGCCGAGTACTGAGTCTGGCCATCGAACTCGCAGTTGCTGATGATCAGGCCCTTGACGCTGGCCGTGTTGGTGGCGACCATCTGGCGACCGATGTTGGAGATCTTGACGTGGTCGATCCACACGCGCTGCATGGCTGTCTTGCCGCTGTTGAGGCCCTGGATGTAGATGGCGTCACCGCCCCAGATAAGGTGCGGGTTCAGCTGTGTGATGTGAACATTCTGGATGATGACATTGTCGGCCCTGGATCCAGATACCCTTGCCTTTGATCACACCACTGGTGCCGAGGCCTCGGAGGGGTCTTGTTGCTCGGTGACCACAAGCGGGGTTCTTGGTATGCGCGCGAGGTCATATAAGTGACTTAACGGAGGTGCCTCGACACAGCGAGGGCACCTCCGTTAAAGGTCACCTATGACCTCCGGTGTTGGCCATGCCACCGCTCTGCAGAATGACATCCTGGCCCTTGTGGCCGTTGTTCTTGGCAAGGCAGTCGCGGTTGCTCTTGGGACGACAACCGTTTTCGGTCGTGGTGCCCTCTGTGCCGCGGAAATCGAAGGTTGTCCTGAGCACGATGACCCGCGGCTGCGAGTCCTTGAGGTAGTTCTTAAGCTCGGCGAGCGAGGTAGGGTACACGGGATTGGCGTTGCCTCCTCCTGTGGTACCGGCAGCGAGACCTGGGGCTATACCGGTGGAGAGAGCATGGGAGCCTTGCATGGCGAACGCGGCGATAGCGACAATGACAACGCGGAAGATCTGCATGATGCTTTTGTACAGGATGTTGGGACTTGTGCTGTGCGAGGCAAAATCGACAATGAATAGCGAGTGAAGTGGCCTTGAGTGTGAGGTGCACCCTACTGGTGGTGTCTGCTGCCAGCTTGAGTCAGGACACGGATGAGTCACGGGGAGTTGGCATACTTGCTGTTGGTGGGCTACTTTTGGACGTTGCGTTGTGTGGGGGTCGCAGGTGGATCACCTTTTGAAATCATTGAGGCATGCTGGACCAGCATGCCAGCAGCCGGTAGCTGATATCAGCTCGCCAGGAGCAAAACCAAATGGTTGGGGCGAAGGGGGCGTACGTCAGTACATCACACAGAGGTCTAAGTGCACAACGCTGGAGGAACCTCAAAAGGGTGAAGACTTTAGCTCACGCATCGATGCACCTCATTTTTTTTTGCACTACCATAAAATAGGATTCATTAAAAAGTTTGTATATGATAGCCTTTGAAAAGTACGATACTGTCACGATTCCAATGTCGCCTTAGCAGCAAACCTAATATTTACCGTAACAATCACTAATAAATATACATGATCAAATTGCCAACAGTTGCGAAACCTATAGAATCGAAGAAGCGAAAACACCACATTAAGTCATGCGGCTAGCCAAATGGCTTCCATATGAAGCGGTATATCAGCGTGTATTTCCGTCATGTGTAGAGGAGATTGAATGTTTTAAGTAGATTGGGATACTAAAGCTTACCTGTTTGAAATTACCATGACCCCACCAGCGTAAAGAACATTCACGCTTATTCCTTAAACTTTAAGACTCTAGCTATTTTCTCTTTAACGCTACTCGCACCGTGAGGCTGACAATACAAGCAGGTAACAGCGTAGGGAGTGGATATTGAAGTGTCTGCTCACTGTTCGTACTTGCAGCGTCTCAAATTCCACTCCTATTCCGCATGAAAATATTTCATGTCCAGGTGATATGGATAGTAGTGCCAAGTATGCATGAACTTATCATTGTAAGTATAGTGATTGACTGCTTGTCCGGAACAACAGTCCCTGTACTAGAGTGGTCTGGTGGGGGGGGGCTTCAAATTCTTCGCAACCAGCAGCGGCTTTGCTGTGGCCAAATCGTGTAGACGTAAATAAAAGTAGATATCCATACGTAGTGATAGCACACGAATTCTTGAGGCAATACAAACCAAAGTCCTCTTGCTTATTAATAGCGCCGGCGTGCCGCTCCATCTGATTCCGACGCATAGTCTCGACACTAAACCGTCAAGTCGTACGATTGCATTTGGTTTTAGAATCAAATCGGTGGAGATGCAACGACTAGCACAAAAGAAGTGCGCTTAAAAAATCCACAGAGCACGGTATTTATCGACAACCTTCGAAGAAAAGCATACGGGGGGTTGCACCCCAGGCCCCCACATTAGAAAATCATGTATAGTAGAGTGCAACGGGTCCGTTCCCAGGTGAGCTCGTCGCTGGGCCCGCCTACGTAAATACCGAGCGGCCCTGCGTCGCCTTGGCTACGCTCCTCACACCTGGATTCTGAAGTTTTTTATATTCCGTCTGTCGGAGAAGGTGCAACCTGTGTACGAGAACCATTCGTCGGTGCGGCGTGTCGAGGATCCAATGCTACTTGCGTTCGTGGACGTGCTGCAAGCGTCGGGTTCGAAACCCAAGCGGATCATGCAGTTTCTGCGCGAGAAGACGGGTACGTATACATGACTTTCGTCTTGCTTTAGCTTCTATTTCTGATGAATCCGTTTATAGGTCAGAACGTGACGCTCCGTGACGTCCACAACATGGTTGCCAGAATGAGAGAGAAGCGGCGCGGTTCCAGAACCGTAGAGCAGCGACTTGAATCTCTAATGCGGGAATTTTGTGGACGGCGGGGTAATCGAGCTTCTGTGTTTGTTGATGACGAATCTTTGGCGCAGACAAATACGCTGCAGACGCGCCAGATGCGTCGCTGGTTCAAGGCTTTTCCGGAGGTGCTGTTGATCGACGCGACGCACAGCACGAACGACTCGAGGTACAAGCTATTCTCGTTCATGATACATGATGTGTACGGCCATGTAAGTCTACGTGTCTAGAGGTACCTGTTGGTGACTATAGACACGTAATGTACAAGAGTTACCCTCAGATGTACCTGTAAGTACCGAAAGGTACTAATGTTACTGTTTGCGTGCCTAGGGTCAGTATGTGCAGCACAGCCTAATGGAAAATGAGAGTGCGGAGTGTCTTACCGATGCGATCGAATCTTTCAAGTTTTCAAATCCGTCGTGGGAGGAGATTCGTGTCATCGTGATCGACAAAGATATGGGTGAGCTGAGCCTTTTGGAGGCGCACTTTCCAAACGTTAAAGTGATTCTCTGTCACTTCCATCTCAAGAAATACATCCGGTCGGAGATGTCAAAGAGGAAGTACGGAGGGCCAAGCAGCTTCGACATGGATCAAGTAGAAGACGCAGTGGAGATGATGAGAACAGCAACCACAAGTGAAGATTACACAAGGTATCTCAAGTACCTGTATTTCCTCTTGGATAACGTTCAGTTACGCTCTACGGACGCGATCCCAGACCTAAAGCACCCGTTTCTCCGTTATTTTATGAGGAATTGGGACCAACAGAAGGAGCGTTGGGCTCTCTACGCCCGTTCAGACGTACCGCATCTTAGAAATCACACAAATATCCGGTAAGAAGTTATGGAGTTAAGGCTTCTGCATTTAATTTGACGCTAACGTTTGTGTGTTATGCGATAGCTTGGAGGCATCGTGGGGGCATCTTAAGGGAATCCTGAAACCTGAGATGCCTCTTGACGAATGTGTGGATACACTGATATTTCTGCAGGCAGTTGCAGAGATGATATACAGTAAAAATATGACAGCGGTGGGTTACATGCGATATCAGGGCGCGGATAAAGAGCTGGAGCGACTTTCACAGGAGGTGAGCCCACACGCCTACCGTCAGATTGAGCAACAGTACTGGATTGCAAAGGACCGAGCTACCCACTACGAGGTCACCGAAGTGACGCCCAACATGTTCACCGTATCGTGCGGCAGCGACAATAACGCCTATCATGTCGATACGTCGGTAAGTTTTATAGTTGATGCTAGCAATATTTATCTTAATTATTGCCTAATTGTCTTTGTATTGGTACGAATGATAGGTATATCGCTGCTCTTGCGTTTTCATGCGTACCACGCTTCTTTCTTGTCGTCACGTCATGTACTGGAGACTGAGCAATGGTAAGAATGTAATTCCGATTCGGCACATTGCCCAGCGATGGAGATTGTCGTGTAAGCTGAATCAACCTGCTGAAGAGGAAGACGCCCCCCAAGATCAGATCGCACGCAAGTCCTTTCAAATCCGTGAGTCGATGATGGTGTCGAGCAAACACAAGGTTCTCAATGGCACCACCAAATTCAGTACGGCTTGTCGACGCGGTACTCAGATCGCTGACATTATGAGCCGTAATGGTACAGCAGTCTTCAATGAGATGCTGGCAGCGTTGGACAAGTTTGAGGAGATCATCAAGGACGGGGTTGCACCGTTCGTGGGTCGTGAAGGTCAATGGATTGACCCACTTTCTCAGTTATCGATTTCTTCGTACGACCTACCCTCTGCTGTCGATGCAAGCGGCACCGCAACATCCGATCAAGAATTGGATCCTGTTTCCCCCATAATTCTTGAACAAAGTCCTGAATGTGACTATTCTGATGACGTGCCGCAAACACACCCACACCTGTGCGCCTTTATGGATACTGAGACTACAACTACAGATGCTGTGCCAGGGAGTATTAATACCGTGACGTCAAATATAACTGGAGTGGCTACAAGTACCACAGGAACACCTCCAGTGGCTTCAGGTACCAGCGGAGTGGCTGCAGGTACCACAGGAGAAGCTGCAGTGGCTACAGGTACTGATGGAGTGCCTACAGGCTCTCAGAAGGGTTCATCTGTACCTACGGTGACTGAGGATACCAATCGCGCAAAGGATGTAGAAACGGCGCCATCAAGCATCCTGTCGAAGCGACAACCCACAAGCTTGGCTAGCGAGAACTCTGACACATCTACATCGGCGACATTCAAGATCAGTAAAAGTGCGAAGAGCCGTGGGCGCCCTAAAGTGCGAAAACAGCAGAAAGTGTCCGGGAAGAAGTAGCGCATGACTCGTGGAAAGGAAAAGGCGACAAAATTAGTTTAAGGAACATTGGTGCCTGTGCCGAGCCTAAATAATCTCGTCAAACTTCTGGATAGAGACTACAGCTACATTGATATCAAGTCGTCGACGCAGTCGCTCTCGGAACGATCGGTCCCACAATCTAAGAAGGCTATTGCTGGAATTTTCACATCCGAGGAGAGCGAAAAGGACATTCGCTACATTTTCCCGCAGTGGTTTGTGACGAAAGCACAGAGTGCTATTCAGCAGTTTCGGAAAGCAGTACCTGTGGTCTGTGGCGAAGATGGCGTAGGAGTACGAGTACCTCGCTTTGGTATCTATCAACTAAGGGATATCAACGCGATGGATCGCTGGCACCAGTGCATTACGGACGTGGAAGATACTGTGATTTGGGCTGTCAATACCAGCAACAAACGGTTGTCATTGCCAGATGAACTTTTGGACGGCGTGAGTGAAGACATCGGTATGCGTGAGCAGAAAATCAAGACATTATTATTGCGCGGAGGACCGCGTACACCGTTTGGTTTTCTATCGTCACTCTCGCTACTCACGTTACGTGGAAGTAAATGGTTAGATGATGCATGCATGGCTCAAGGGCTGGTACTACTTCAAAAGGAAAACACCAAAGTGGGAATTATCGATCCGATATTTCATCGGTTTCACGACCGAGAAGATAAACTACGCGTTATACGCAGTGGTACTCCTTTTGATTCCGCCAATCAGCTGGTATTGATGGGGTTACACGTGGATAACAATCACTGGTGTGGGATTGTGTTTGATTTTCGCCCTGAAACCAGATCAGTCACGATATTCGTCCCATTGCAAGCTACGAAGACCAATTATTAC